GTGTTTTTATTGTTGTCCACGACGTCTCTCACATGAGATATACCTCCGATTTTGGCAATACTTCGTGTTTTTTAGAAGTCGCTCGGATAGACTGATGGGAGAGGGGGAAAGGGGGAAGTACGACGCACCGGCCGGCGGACGTCATTGTTGGTAGTTTTTGGTGCTGAAGTTGGTCCTACGATAATCTAGAGCAAAAATCCGACGGTGATGGCAATGTATTGCTCTTGTAATAGTCGTGTAATAGACGCGTAATGGTGACGTAATAGAAGTAATAGAGAGGTAATACAGGTAATAGAAAGGTAATAGAGGTAATAGAGAGGTAATACATAGGTAATAGAGGTAATAGAGGTAATAGGGAGTAGTCGGGCCACGATTTTGGAGAGTGGATACCCCCTCGACTAGGACTAGACACAGATAAAGTTAAATATACTTCCAGGCAGGCATACTCTGAATGACTCCGAACGTGTCCGAACAACGAAATAGATGTTGTTTTTTGGCACGGGAGTGTACAGATTTTATTAATGATGTCGTGCTACCATAAAATCAGCGGGTAGAAACTCCCTATGATGAGCGCGCCGCAACCTCTCCCGCGGCAGCTCGCGCGGCCGGGCCCGGGCGGCGGCCGACCTGGTTCATAGAAGTTATGTTTAAAGATGATATACTCAACGACAATTATAAAACCGCATACCTACATGAAGCTGAGATATCAAGCTACATTTCTGTAACCTCGTTTTCACCGAAACTTCCTCAGAAGACTGAAAGTAGTAATTGCAAAGGAAGAGGAGACGGTGCGCGGACGGCGACACTCGAGAGTTTTCCCTCTTTTATTCAATTGTGGATGATTTTACGACAAAATATACTCATACCAATTTGTTCATTGAATAATTCTGTTTGGAACTGAACTTGTCACTTTGGGATAAGATTTACCTGGAAAGTGTAGCGAGACACAAAAGAAGTGCGTAACCAAACGGGTGCGCCGGGTCGTCGACTTTCGGGAATTATTTTAAAATATAATCAGACTCATTCAGCGTTGACGTAAGTGGCTATTCCCAGTGAAATTTAATGTAGTTTCCGAATATATGCGCGACATCCCGAAAAATTGAAAGATTGCTGAGATTAGGACGGATTATGATGACTGTGCAGAGGTCGGCCATTCTGCTCACTTATTTTCCCAATCTTATAACAAGAAAACTATAACTTCCTTCCTTATTCCCTCGCTTGAAATGCATTCTCCGACTCTTGTTGCATCATAATAACCACAGTATGACTCTACCCGAATGATAGAACATCAGAAATAAATATAAAACCAAAACCTCGCTGGTGTAACGGGACGGCCGCGGCCGCTAGAGGTCATGTTGCCCCCACCGGCACAGCGTCTGGATTCGGATTTTATTTTAGTACACCCTATTACACTTCTCAGACAAAACTCTAGGGCCGAGGAAGTAGGTCGTCGGGGATGTGCTCGCGTCTAGCATTACCTTGCGCCCTGTATCCTGGGTAACCACAAGGTGGATGTCGACCGACACGCGCCCCAGTGACGGGAGAGACGCGAGTTGCCAACGGGTTTGTCGACGGGCACGTGCGCCCTTCACCATGACCTTCCACTCTGTCCTCGCCACAATCTGCAGGGGAAGACGACGGCCTGGTGCGCCGAAGACGAGGGAGGGGAGCTCGCCGTCAACGGCGTACGCTTGTCACCGGGACCTCGCACCCTGTCCCCTGCATACCGACCCCAAGTAGGTGACGACAACCTGCCATACCGGTGACGGGGAGGACGAGTCGTCGTGGATGTGGGTCCGTCACCAGTAGGGTGTTTCAAAAAAAATTAATTTTCACCAGTCGCTGATTTTTAGTTGCGCCTAGGTCGTCTGATTCCAACGCCGTCCCCCCCGTTGTCCTACGACATCGTCTACCCACTGCGCAACGCGATCGAAACTGTCATCCGCGCGAACTTTGAGTGCCGCTGGCGCACGGGGGTCTGGTGCGTTTAGTGATCAGGATAGCGGAAGGGTTAACCAATAAGTCAAGCTAAAAGGAAGCTATAAAATTGTTTGCCCTCTGACGTCCCTTTCCTCTCTTCTACCCCTCAAAAAACGTTGAAAAAGGTTGGCCGGGCTAACATTTTTTGAGGGGGAGAAGAGAGAAAAGGGACTTCAGAGGGCAAACAATTTTATAGCTTCCTTTTAGCTTGACTTATTGGTTAACCCTTCCGCTATCCTGATCACTAAACGCACCAGACCCCCGTGCGCCAGCGGCACTCAATGTTCGCGCGGATGACAGTTTCGATCGCGTTGCGCAGTGGGTAGACGATGTCGTAGGACAACGGGGGGGACGGCGTTGGAATCAGACGACCTACGCAACTAAAAATCAGCGACTAGTGAAAATTAATTTTTTTTGAAACACCCTAGTCACCAGCACCAGGACAGCGAGCTCTCCTCTCTCATGACCGGCGCACCAGGCCGTCGTCTCCCCCTGCAGGCGGTGGGGAGAACAGTGCGATAGATCACGGTGGCGGGCGCACGTCCCCAACGACCTCCCCGCTAGAGAGACTGCAGTTCTCTCTACTTAGGCCCCGCGCGCCAGGCCGTCGTCAAACGCCTGCTGGCGGTGGTCAGGGTGGCCAGGCCACGAGGATTACGTCCTCGACGACGCTTGTTCGATCCTGTGCCTTGTGCTTGATGCATAGGCTGTTTTCCCCACTGTTTTAGAATATTTTTATTGAACATTTACATTGAATATTTATATTTAATATTTGGGGAACATCTGGTTGGTCCCCTCACTAAAAGGTCCCCCCCTAATTAAGGAAAATATGCCTACCAGACACGTATCGGAACTTTCCTATACATTTCTGGGGATTTGCCTATACACTTGGTAATTTTCCCATACACGTCT